CCTGAGGTGGGGAAAAGTGGGATATTTTTTTTTTTTTCCTTCTAGACATCTTAAAGGTGCTGTTGACATTTGCCATCGTCTTTGAATCACCACAATCGCCTTCCTCATTCTATGCTGACTATGAAGAAAGACTGGTCATTCTAGTTGTTTTGGTGGTCACTCAGATATTTCCTGGCGTAGCAGAAAATATGAATTAAAACAAAAAATAACAATTACTAATTCAGTGCCAGTGTGCAGAAGATCCTCACTATTTTGAACTCTTTCTGGATCCTATTGAGGTCAGCAATATATCCCCACTAAGGCTAATGAAGTCCTTCCCTCCCTTGGAGGGGAGCGATGGCTGTGGACTAGAGTGAGTTACAGGTGGTGACTGGCAGAGAAGATGATGGGGCGACTTATGAGAAAGGGATTCAGAAAGTAATTTATTGCAAGTCTACTATATTGAGAAGTGAATAAAAGGGGAAGTAAAAGTGAAACATACCGCACGGACTATGATTTGTGAAGTAATGAATGACAGGCAAGAACTTGTGTGAAGATGTCCAGTGAAGGAGGTGGCACACAAGAAACCCAGTCTGTTTTCCTATTTGGTGGTGATACGACTTCAGTAGCCCCTAGTCTAATTACTGTTAGTTCTAGCTGTTCATTCTTGCTTGTCTGCAGCACTGAGGATTTGTACCGTGTGACAGTAAGGAGGGAGGACGGATGGACTGAAAAAAGAATCTGTTTCTTAGGAATTTTTTTTTTTTTTTTTGGTAAAAGGAGTTTGATGGAGAATGCCAGGTTATCACTGGCACAAATCAGAGGTAGGCAATCTGGACTGCTGAAGTTAGTACTCAAACCACAGAAATGGTCATGGAACCACAGCCTTAAAGCAACGTTAAAGGCAAGTGCAAAAATGCTTAGTAAAAGTTTACGTTTTCTTTGGTTTGTACTTGTTGAATCACGTCTACTTGCATTTCATTTGGTTAGCACCTACCACTATGGAGTCCTGAACCGTGGTGAGCCCTTCAGGTGTTTTCCATGAATGATTTTTTTTTTGTTACATAAAACAAATTCAATATGACACTCTCCACTTCCTAAACCTACAACAGAAGTAATTCTTTGCTAATTTGCAACTTACCAGCACAAATGAAAGAGCAATGTTTCCAGTGAACTAGAAAGCAATGGGATTTTGTTTATGAAAGAAACCGTAATCCATTTGTTTCTTGCCCTGTAGAATATTAAGGTCCTGTAGACCAGACTGTCCCTTCTTCACTTGCATCTGTGCATTTCCAGAATATTGGTTTTATGCTACTATCGTTGGTAGTTTAGAGGGGGGAATTTGGTGCACTGGTAGAAATTGAATTTCTCTACAGAGGTACAGATTAGATGTGGCACTGTTCACTTTTATGTCAGCATTAATAGGTGAAAAGTGCAAACAATTTACTGGTTTATTTAAGATAGGCATCTCTGAACTAACAGTAAAGTTTCAGTTAGAAAATGCTCATTTGTATGTGTCTATTTTAAAGTAGAATTACCCTGTCTTTAAGAAATATAGATGTAATACAGCTGCCCAAGTACAGCGTGCACAGGTTACCTTACATCCAGCTTTGGCCAGGCTAAACAACAGGTATAAATCAGTGCTGCTCTGGTGTAGTTTGAACTTTGCTTTCTGTGTTGCTAACAAAGATTTCCTTTAACAGAAAGCTAAGGTGGTGGGAATAACTTTCTGACTTAAAGTACTATGCCATCTGTTTCTGTTTTCCCTTGCTAGTATCACTGCATTTTGGTGCAGTAAGTGGACCACTGTAGAGTCTGGTTCCCACACCCCCAAAAATATTTTCAAATAAAGTGTCAAGAATTGAGGTGGGAAATGTATGTTTTGCTCTCCTGATAGTTTAAATGTTACCTTTCTGTAGGATGAAAGTCAGGAGAGCATGCTTTCTCCTTATGAATTGTAGGCAGAGCCTAGCCCCTCCTGAGATGCTTTACAAAAGTGAAGCACAGCTGGCCGTAAGAACTGGGTGCTGCCTGACATTTCACACTGTACTGCAGCTCAGCTGCTTTTAGACATACCTGAGTCGTTCCTCAACTGTGAAAATACATCATGCTGTTGTGTACACCGAGAGTTCTGAAGTTCCTAATATGCAGTGGTATTTTGAAATTCAAAGACTTTTTAAGACCCAGGGGTTTGACATTGTGATAAGCTGATATTGAAGGATAAAGGTCTTCAAAATTTAAAAAAAAAAAAAATCAAGGAAAAGATAAGCCCAGTTATTTTTACCCATGTTATAAGAGATTTTTTTATTGGTGTGTGTGGTTTTTTTTTTCCCCCTTTCCCATTCCATAGCACCTCCTGGGTCTGCAGGAGCAGGTAGTCTGACAGGCTACCTCTAAAGCTGTACTTACATCAATTGCTGATGCTAGTGCACAAACAAAGATGGACTGTTCTGGTAAGACAAGGCTCCATTGAAGTTACTGCTAATAAGCAAACCAGCTCTGTTCACTTCAGTCCCACTCAAAACGCAGGAAAAGGATCAATCTTTGCCAAACTTGAAAAGCTGAAACTATTACAGAGGATAAAAATGATTTACTTCAAGTGGGTGTAAAACATATTTTCAAAATAAACACTGAAACCACACTTGACTCTTACCACATATATTAATCATATTCTGCAAGGGCATGAAATATAGAAAGTGTTCAGCTTTGTATTCCTTCATTTTATAAATGCAGGATTGTTCTAACGAGCATTTAATATAAGCAGTGCTTCTTAAATACCAGCTTAGATGCCAGATACAATGTGCGTTCTCACTGTGAAGTGTTACTCCATTGTAGCTTAGTTTACTCTTAGCAAAAGGGCTTGCCTCTTAGTATTTCCCCAATGCTTAAAAAAAACCCCAGCCCTGAAGTAGTTGTAGATGGGATTGATTTGACTATTTGATTTTAAATTGTTGTACCTACACTTGTTTAAACAGAAGCTTGTACCCATCCTTGCAGTAGTGCAATAGCTTTTTGTATTTCTATAGTAAATTATTTTCCTAGTTTAACATGTTTGAGTGCTCTAGCGCTGGATTGATCATCATCTGCTTTTTAAGCACAGCTCCATGATGTAGTGAGTGATTCTTCTGAGAAGAGTCACTCTAGTGATGTCATATGCTTGACTTCAATTTTCACATGCTGCTACAGGTGAATTAAGAGTCCTACAGGTATAAAATGTGGACATTCCCCAGCATGTAGTTTGTTGGGGTTTTGTTTGTGTTTCTTTTAATACCTTTGACTACATACGAGTCCTCCTGTACTTACACTGGTCTATGTAAAAACCAAACTGTTTGAGCCTAGCCTTGTTTGCATGTGATGGAGCTCTGCTTACCTTTTAGAGCTGGAAATGAAATTCAGGGAAGTTCCCTCCTAGGAGTGGGTGTATTGCTGGGGGAGCTGCCGCTCCCCGGTACCGCGGGCAGATCTGCCTGCATCCTGCCCTGCCTGCACCCGGAGCTGAGCCTGCTCAGGACACGGTGGCAGCGAGCGCTTGCTGAGGTGTTCTCCGCCATGCTCTGGGACTGGCTGCCAACACCCTCGCCCTTCTTTGCTCTCTCTAACGGGTACCTAACCTCTTTGCTTTGTTTAGGTTTAGCTACATTGCGGAGAGAACAAAGGTAGTGCAAAGGGGATTTTTTTTTTTTGAAGTCAGGATGAACCTTGGGTTTTTTACCATTTTGTTATGACTCTTCTAATTCTCTGGCTCCTGACTATATTAATAATCATGCAGTTAGAGCCCATATGGCTCTGCTGCTGAGGCAGCGATGACAGGGCTGTGTTGTGTTGGCTTTGGGTTTGGTATTTTTTCCTCCATTCTTAGCTTAAATACTGCGTTAGTGGAGTCTCTGACGTGTCTTCTGGTACCACTATGCAGCAGCGAGATCGGCATCCAAATCTGAGGTGTTCCTCAGTGTATTGTTTGGCAGATTCCCATAATGGAGCATGTTAAGGAATAAGCAATCTAGGGAAATCAAACTTGCCAACCTTGAAACAGTAATTCCTAGAAAGAAATGCTGGCTGCACCATTAAACCCCTTTTTCTCTACATGGAGATATTCAGTAAGGAAGGAATTGGGCTGGTGATCAGCTCCACTTGTACAGTCAGCATTCATTCAGTATTACTCGAGGCAGACACAAACATGCTCAAGCTGGGTCCTTGCAGACTCTGGAGATTCAGCAGGGTTTATTAACTTGGGCTCAGTGCCAAGCAAATGCAACTCGGCTGCTCCCAGACCAAGTAGGATCTGCTCTTTTGGCGTGGAGTCCGAGCTGTTCGAGCCTGCCAAGCATGAAGGGTGCAGACCTGGCTCCAGTCCTGTGCTCAGATCCAGGAGTTCTGGAAACACGGTGTGGGTATCTGACCATATGGATCAACTTGAGACCATCAGGGCTCATTAGATCAACAGCAGTTTCAGCCCTGTTAACCTTGAGCTTGCTTCTGTGCCTGTTTTTTGTTTTGGTCATCTTTCTGTTGTGTTTCCCTTTTTTTTTTTTTAAGTTTTTTTTTTTTATGGTTTGGGTTTTTTTAAATTTAACTTCTCTGTGCTGTGATTCCCAGCATGTTTTGCAGTGGAAACAGTATACAAATATTTCCATTGCCTGCTTTCTCACATCCTGTAAGAGCCGTGATATTGGAGCGCTGACCGTTACACCCAAAGTGTGGAGTGCCGAATGGGTACTACCGGTTAGGACTTGTGTTTTGGTTTCACGGAGTACGTAGCCATGGTACATACACTGACACTATAGATTTAATAACTGCAGTTGCCATAATGGTAATTAGCTTTTCTGTTTGGATTTGAAAATACACTCTGGAAAAACTGCAGTGTGATTGGACTAAGTCAAAATAATTTTAAGGCGATGTGCTTGATAGTCTGTGGATTATTACAGTACTTGAAATTGAATTTCCTCACAAAATTCACAAATGCTTGCTTAACTTTTCCAAGCAAAAGGTCATACAGCTCTTCTGGGTTTTTTCATATGCAGGTGCAGCTGGGACAAGCAGATATAAAATGCCCGATCACCGAGTGCAGCGAACACCTGGATGAAACAACTGTCCTCTGTAACCTGCCCCACGACGACATCATCAAGTATAAATATTTCCTGGAACTCAGCCGCATTGACTCCAGCACCAAGCCATGCCCTCAGTGCAAGCACTTTACAACCTTCCGGAGGAGAGGCCACATTCCTACCCCTGCCAAATTGGAGAACAAATACAAAGTGAGCATGCTTGCCAGGGCCGTGGGTTAGATGGCACTGTGAAAGTAGACAGCATTTGGTGGGCATTGAGTGAGCTTTCTTGCATCGCTGGGGCTGTGTGCAAACTTCGATTAGGAATATGAATCTGTCGTACGTCATTGATTACTTAATTGATTTCTAATAGTTCAAGCAGTTGAACTTCAGCCCTTATTTCTTTGGCAGGTGGCGTAATTTTGTCCTGACACACATTTTAATTTAAAGAGTGTTTTCTCTGACATACAAACAGTATGGTCACGATCAGAAGAGACTGGGGAAGGGGAGTTATCACCATAACTGGTAATTTTAGACACACATGTCTAGCAAAGATAAGCTTTCCCTGAAGCTCTGGGCAAGTGAATTCTGGGCATTTATGGTGTTAGGGTGCTGACTTGCTCCCTCCTTAGAAATAGAACTGTTGTCTGTCCTGCTTCTTGGTTTTGATTTCTTCAGTCCCTTACCAGAGGTTATACATTGCTGTAGTCTCATCACTCACAGAAAATTTGAGAAATAGGAAAAAACCCACTTTTACAGCATTTGTTTTAGTAGAAGATTTGCTTATACTGTGATGTTAATGAAAGATAAAAAGCAAGAGATTATAACTAGAAGAAGCTTTGGCCTGCTGAAGGTCCATCTTGGTTCCAGAAGATAACAGTTCTGTCTGCAGCATTGTGCTCTGTGTTAGTTTTCCATGCAGTTATTGGATTTGTTGTGGTTAATGTCATGATTGAGCTGGCCTTTCCTGGACAAACCAGTTCTCCTCAGGAGGAGTTTAGATGACTGTTTAGATAGCCCTAATTACACAGCATAAGATTCAGCCAGTATGGAGATTAAAAGGTAGAAGGTTGTGTATCCAGTGGAGTTGAAACCTTGGTAAAGCTAACTCTGAGTTATGAGCTACTTATGTCTATCTGTGCAGTACGTGAATTACATGCCACGCTGTCTGTTGGGCTCAATCTTTTCAGATTTTTGGCATCTGATGCGGAGGTGGAGAAATTCGAAACTGCAGGTAAAATTCCTTCCGCCCACAGCCATTCTCCTTCACCCACCCACTTAGCATTCCCTCAGATGTAGAGTCCAGGGTAGATCAGAGGTTGTAATGCATCTGCAGCAGCCTCTCTTAAGGTGCCAGAGGCTGTTACTGCCCCACCAACGTGGGTCACAGGTGGTGCAGCTGTTGTACCGTGGGCATACCAACTCTGAGAACGTTCCTCAAGGCGGAAAATGGGTTGTTCTGCCCACCAGTGCTCTTCTATGAGTTAAAATGCTCTAGTTAAAATATTCCCACCGCTTCCTCACAAATCGTAATCAGAAGGAATGGGAGGTTGTGTGGTGCATGAAATAGCGCGAGCCAGACGCAGTTCCCTGGTCCTCTGGTGATACGTTACGTGTAGCTCCTTCTGGGAACAGACCCTGGCAAAACATGCCCAGGTGTTGCCTGGAAGAATGTCCAGTTGATGCTGGTCACAAATATAATAAAGTGCTAACAAACAATATGGATGATCCTAGTCCAGGGCTTCAGCGTAATCCCTGAACCTGTGGTGTTTTCTGGCGTAAGTACAGCTTCGGTGACTTGCTTTAAGCTTAGCACAAGCAACAGTTTTGCTGCAGGGATAAAATTTTAAAAGACGACTATATATTAGATAGTGTATATGTGAATAATGACATACACATGTAGTTGTGGCTTTAAGCTTAGCACAAGCAACAGTTTTGCTGCAGGGATAAAATTTTAAAAGACGACTATATATTAGTGTATATGTGAATAATGACATACACACGTAGTTGTGGACCAATATTATCTCAGTTTTCTCAGATTCTCATGTGATTGTATGTATCTTGTCTGTGCCTTGAATTGTAGGCTCTTTGAACGTAAAGACATTTTCTTCTGCATATAGCATAGGAGATATCTGACTGAGAGACACACATATTCGCATGCGAGCAATATAAACAGCAGTTGCACCAGATGAATTCTGCACCAGCACTTGAAGTGCTGCCTTCAGAAGAACTGAGTCATGCGTGGGGAAAGTCTGCGCACAAGCCTGCTGGTGGGATCGCTGCGCACAAGGGCTTGGTGCCAGTACCTTCGCTGTCCTATACACTGCAATGGGAAAACACTGTACAATCCAAGGGTACATTTGAACAGATACTTTAAAAATGTTGTTAATGGCATTCTTAAAATTTGATACACTATTTAAAATTATAAATAGCATCTAAACTTAAAAAGGTAGTGAAGTTATTAGATTAATTTTCCTTACTGTAGCTGTTTTATGTCAGCTAAACTAATGTAAGCCCAGCAGTTCTTGAAGAAGCAATTCTTGATTCTTGGATTCTGTTTCTGCCTGATCAACCTGTGAGGTTCATTATGATGTTTTCTTGTTCACTTGTGTCAAGAGATACACATCACATAAAAGAAGAGCTTGAGTGCTTGGCTTTGAAATGTAAATGTTTTTTTCAGTGTGGTTGCTATATAAACTATCTTTTGTTTGAACTACTGAAGAGTTTCTGAAACTCGTTGCTCTAGAACTGGTAGGAATCTGTACCTGCAGAGATGCTGTGATAAAGCGGATCTGTGTAGTTCATATCAATCAGTTCCCTCCTTTTTGGGTCAGACTTTAACCTTGAGTAGCAGATATCTTCAAGGCTACACGATGGCTACACTTCAATCTACCTTCAGCCTGAACTGCTGTGGACGTGGTGAATTTGTCGTGCTCTCCCTCTTTGCCCTCAGCTGTTCATTCCTGCCAGCTTGCTTTTACTCGTGTTGATGTTGTGGTGTCACACTGGGAGCTGGATCAAAGATCAGCTTCAATGGGATACAGGATTTGTTTGTTTTGTTGTTGCTTATTTTCAGCTGGTACAAGAGAGAGGATGGGTTGGTGACGAGGAGGAGGCAGCTGTTTTGGCAGGAGCCCATATTTATTTTGGAATAAAGTGACTGTGTAGCTGTAGCTAGGGACTGTAATTCATGTAAGTAGTTAGTTGCATGATTAATTTGGCCATCCTATTATAAAGCTAGCATTCCACTAAGCAGCAGAAAATCCCACTAAACTTTTTGCAGCTTCAGGCTCTCACAATATTTTTTAGAGTGCATTCAATTTTACTATCATTGTATCACATCGAGCAGTGTTTTGTGTTGAAGTTACCTACCAGTTTTGAAAGGTCTTTTCCTGGGAGGTGAGGAAAACGATAGTTAGAATAGTTTGCAGTAAAGAGGCTAGCTAAGAAAATGGAAAATGTTAGCCTCAAAGGTCAGTGTTTCGGAAAGCTGAGAACCAGAAGGGTTAGTATGAGAAGTTGTGTAATCTTTTCTATTTCAAGGGAGACTGACCTCCAGATGGCATAGAAGTTTGTGTATGTATTCATCCTCTCAATTCTGATCCACTGAAATGGAAGTCGTAAAATAAATGGAAAAATGTTTGTATGAGGAAAAACATACTTGAAAAAAACACTAGATTAATGTTTTGGGTTTTTTCAGATATAGTTTGTCTGCTTTGCTGGGCTATAATATATTTTACTGGTTTAAATTATATGTAGATAGCATTTCTGTGTCCTCCTTATAATGATTTCATGCACTGATACTGAAGCATAAATCAAATCATATTTGACTTCTCCAGAAAAGCAGAGAAAGAATGGAATAAGAATCTGAAAGACAGCTGTAATTGCCCTGTTGTGTTCCTATTTCTTAAGCACACTGGTGTCACTCTGCATCCAGGTTTGAAGAGGTTTAGGATTTTGTTTTATGGCCACTAGTTTCAAGAAAAATAAGGTTCATAAGTACTTAACATAGTTTTCTTTGCCTGCTTAGTGTATGTTCAGACAATATTGAACAACAGAGAAGTCAAGTGGCCCATTCAAAATGTGAAAACTATTTACCAGTTGGGTTCTGAGGAAGGTGCTGTCAGGGGTGGCAGGTGGAAGAGGAAACTGGGGACTCCACACCTGGTAAGGACGTAGGCAGTTCCCACTAGTTTCCTTCCGTTACTGAGGGCCATTCATGGTAACAAAAGTTATTCTGAGTTCATGCGGTTATAGCCTCATCCTGTATTTCAGTGCTTTCTAAGCAATGTGTTTGGAAACATCTGATGTCAGTGTGCATATAAGATTAAATATATATCCTGGTGGCTGCTATATTTCTTGCAGTTATGTACATGCTATAATAGAAAGATAGAGCCTGCAATAAATTTGCAATTATTTTCACAGAAAAAAAAAAACCAACCCCAAAACCAACCCCACAAAACTTATGTCTTAAATTATGTTGGCATTTTGTTTAAGAAAGAAGCTTTAACTTGCAACTTCCCACATCTGTTGGTTTGAGCTTGTATTTTTTAACGTTCGTGTTCTATCTCAAATGTCTGAATACTGCAACTGAGGAAAGCTTTCACATTACAGAACACTTAATTGTGGCTACAAGCTCCATCTTTGGCTGAGGCATAACAAATATGAGTAATATAATGTGATGCTTACTATAATCTGTCTTCCCGGCAGTAGGTCAGTGTGACATGCGTTATTGAAAAACGTAAATTCAAAGCTCAGGTTGGGAGGAGAAAAAAAAAAAGCTGTGCAGATATAGGGCAGGATAGTCTCTAGTAATCTAAGCTGTCTTGTGCATATTGGTTTCTAAAGTATTGTGGAAATGTAGATCAGTTCTTTGTGTTAGTTTGGTTAGTAGCAATAAATACATGATTCTTTAGGTTCTTCAGAGTGGGAATTTTCCTCTTTCCTGTTAAATTGTTTTTATTAGGAGAATTCATCTGGGAAGCAGAGATGCAGGATAGTGTATTTCCTTTAGCATCTGGGCCAGTAAACCAACAAATCTGAGAAAGAGCACTGGTTATATTTTGTATTGTTTTTGTTTTATACTTTATCTTGGCCTTAGACATTACTGTGTGTTCACGCAAAAAGTAGCAACGTTTGTAATCCACACATTGCAGCTTTAGTGTGTTGTTCCTCTACAAACAAGTTCCATTTGTTGTTCTTTCCTGTTTTGGTGCTGCCTACCAGTGTCGTCAGTACCTTACTCCATTGACGTGAAGCACGTGCTGAGTGCAGTTTTCTGCTCTGTGAGGTATCTTGCTGTGTGCCTTACCAAAAATGTCACTTCGCAGCTATAGAAAACAGTAAGTCATGCTTGCACCAGGTACAGGATATGAGAATTTCATCCATTTTAATATTACACTCTCTGAATCTGCTTGATATGAAGGAAGTGTATGTATTCTAACACTGAAATGCACGTATGTTTGTGTTTGTTTTTTTTACAAGGATAGTGACTGATTGATGGTAACTGTCTAAAATCTTAATGTGTTGTAATAAGAAAATCTGTCCGTTTCTTGATGCTGCTTCCCTTCCTTGCACTTCAGCCTTATGCCCAGGTAAAGAGTCCTGGAGGGGAAATGCTATCTTACGGTAGTGAGAAAATTATCAGTCCTCTTGACCATTAACTCCCATTCTTGCACTTGCTGCTCTGTAGATGCAGGTTGACGTAAAGAGGTAAGCTGAAGTGATGCATTGAGCAGCACATCATATAGTCCTCTATTAACGGTGAAATACATGGTTAAACAGTGCTGCGCAGTCAGAGGTACATCACTTCATACAAATGAAGCTATGATTGTTACACACTGCTGCAGTATTTAAAAAAACAACAATAAAACATTTGCTCTCTACAGGTGAAGTTAAAGACAACCACTGAAAGATGGGTCAACTGGGGTCATAAAAATGCTTGGCTTGAGCCATTGTGTCAGTGAGGCAAATAACTAAATAAAGGCAAAAAACTAAATGCTATCGCTGTATAGAACTTGGGGAATAGCATTAAGGGTAGCAGACAGCATTTTTCAGTCATGCATCAGAGATCAGATTAGCTTTGTATTAGCATGCCAGTAATGACGGATGTAGCAGTTGCGCATAAAAATTATAATTTTGGCTGCCCCCCAGCAAAATGCTTAGGGTAGATCAGAGTGCCTACTTTGGACTCTAACTGGAGCCAAGGCAGCACACCGCTGGTTGGCGTGTCCGAGCAGAGGGCACGGCAACTGGTGATAGTGAGGCTTTAGAAATACGTTTTGGGGGCTTCACATGGGACTGCACCCTTGGATGTAGTTTCCTGAGGAGCACCCTCACACCATGCCTGGCCAGCACAGAAGTGTCTGTGGTTCGGTGGTGAACAGGATCTGGACACAGATGCAACAAAAAAGCCTCTTTGTTTTCTTGTGGCTGGGTGAATTCCTCAGTCCTGTCCAACAGCTGGTAAAAAGACCGGGCAGTGCCAGGCATGGGCTGCAACTGGAGCTGGTGGACAGGGCCCAGCGGCCGCTTCAGAGATGTGCCTTCCCGTCTTTCAGGCCAAGACATTTGCTGCCAGACACAGCAGAAGTGAAGACGTTGCAGGAGCCTAGATTTGCCTGTATCTAATGTGGCTTCTAGTTCTTGCTTTCTTTAGTCACATTCCAGGTAGGAAGCCTGTCTTTCATCAGATACACACTTGCAATGTGCCTCTATTTATTACTTCTACAAACCCAGCAGCTGCCATAGCTTTTTTTTTTTTTTTCAAAAATACAGCCAGGCTCTGGAGGAAGACATGATGACGGTGGTCATTGACGCAATGATTTAAAACCCAAGGAGTGGGAAGAATAAATCCTTTCTCAATTTAAGGAGCTTGGCTGGTGTTTTTGCCGTTAGGTGTGGTCTGTAGCAAGCGGGCTGTTTGGCACAGCCTCAGCTCGCCCTTATGCAATCAAGAGCAAAAGGAGGTGCCTGACTTCCAGGTGGTAGTTGGGGCCCTGGGTTGAGACCCTTACTCATGGCCCCTTTTCCCAGGACCATTTCTAATATAAGATTCATAACCCATTCTGGGCTCTGTAGAGCCCCTTCAGAAGACCAGGTACTCCCTGGTAATAGCCTTGGCAGTGATGTTTACAACTAGAAGACTGAGATCCACCGCACAGAAAACTGACTGCTGATTTTTAGGTGATCTCACACAGGTATTGGAGGCCACTGAATAACCTTTCTGGATGTTTGCCTTTTGGCATTTGAGCCACACGGTGAATTTGGGAAGCAGTTCCTATGCTTAAACCAAGCTACTTGTGCTTTGTTTGATTGGAGCCTTTCCTGGCTTTAGCAATTAGTTCTGTATTTTCTCTCTTGTAAAAAGAAAAAGAACAAGTTAGGTTCCACAACTTCTTGTGGTTTTAAAACAGACCTTCAGAAGATGTTAGACCTTTGCGCAGCTGCTGTCCTCATTGAAGAGCAGTGGTTTTAAAACAGGCTTTCAAGTTGGGTCAATGCCCAACTTGCAAACGTGTGGTGTTTTCTCATTTGTACAGATCCAGTGTCCATCTTGCCAATTTGTCTGGTGTTTCAAGTGCCACTCTCCCTGGCATGAAGGCGTTAACTGCAAAGAATACAAGAAGGGAGACAAGCTGTTGCGTCACTGGGCCAACGAAATCGAGCACGGGCAGAGGAATGCCCAGAAGTGTCCAAAATGCAAGGTGAGCTGCTCTCCCTTGGCTTGCAGGTAATGGCTTCAAACCGTTTCAATATGTATTTAAAGTAAATACTTGTAGCTTCTGCTCGGCATTGGAAATGTAATTTATGCTTGTTGTACAGATTCTTGTCAATGACCCATTGAGAAAAACAGGTCAGATGTTTTCCTTGCTGGTTCCTGCATTGATTCTGCAGAATCTCTGCATGTAAAAGGAACGTTATGGAAATCATAAGAGGGGGCTTTGATGTGTGCTTGTAATGAATGTTTGTTACAGAATAAATTATTCCTAAAATGAAGCGTTAAAGAAATTAAAAACTTCAGAGAAATATGATGCCCTTTGTCAGGTTTTCTGAAGAGCTTGGGTGAATTCAATTTCTGAGTAAGGCAGAAAGTACTCTATCAACAAGTTAACTAAGGGAGACTTTAAGATTTGGCAAACTCAGAAGTTTTTTAGGATTAAATATGAGTTCTTCACAAGCCTTCCTCATGAATGAGTTTAATTTTCAACACTGAAGTACAGCCTTGCACCCTAAAAACGTCATTAATCTCTTCCAGGATAGGAAATATTTCCCACTGCTCAAGTGAGATGCAACAGCCCCACACAGCCATGCCCCTGGCTGCCCCTAATGAAGGTGGCCATTATGTTTATGCACTACTTTTTTCACAGCACCTATCTCCAGCTGCTGACAGAGTAGTAAGTCAAAACCTTGAGAGCACAATGGTGATGGGAGACTGTCTTTTTTTTTTTTTTTGAAAGGGAGTACCTAGTCTCAACGTATCTATTGCTTTACATCTACTTCATGGAGAGAACCAAGTAAGAAAACTGGGATGTTTGGTAGGAAATAAATATTGAATGGGAAAATTTATTTCTAAATATCTGAAGTATACTTTTGTCACACTTTCAGCCTTACCCTGTGCAAATAAGAGAATGTTTATCAGTTTACTAAGTATCTTATTGTGCTCTTGGGAGAAAGAAATGCCTGTGATGCCATAGCTTGAAATTGAAAGATTTCGAAACACTAAAAAATTTGGAAAGCTCTGAAAACAGCAGTCAGTTGTTTACCCTTCCTCCCACACACACGTGACATTTTAACAGAGTTTTAACAGCTTGCAGCTTGCTGTTTGGTAAGAGTTCATAGGTTTGAGCCAGTTCTAAATATGTTCACTTTCTGGGAAGTCTTACAATAAAATACTTCTTCCTTTTGGAGTGGGAAGTAGTATGTGTTTTGGCTTTAATTCTCTGACTTGTGTCCAGATTCAGATTTTGTGACAACATGAATGATGTAACTATTGAAATAAGTTGTCCAAAAACCAGAAGAAAATGCACCAAGCAAAAAAAATATGAATGTGGAAAAGCAGGGGGAAAAGGGATGCTAGCTGGAAAGGGAAGGGACCTAAAACTGCTAACCCTAACATGTTTATCCTTAAGTTTTAAATTTAAAACACCAAATGTACAATTGTTTTCACAGTCTTCAAAAGAAAAGACTGGACGCTTGAAACTTACGCAGGCTAAGTCAGTCATTTTGAAGCCTGAAGTTGCATGAGTTTGGCCATTAATTTCAAAAAGACTTCAGGTTTCTTTTTTAATCAAAAGAAAATAAACCTCCTGCATGGTGGGAGGCAGTATGGAAAGTTATTAAACTAGCACAGAAAAAGAACCTTTGTTAACAAGTCCTTTCTGGTAATGTGGTATTATAAGTCAATATTGAAGAGGATGTTCAACTTTTGCACAAACTGTATTGCTACCCTACTCCTGATGCTTTTTCTTCAGAGGTGAAAAGATTCTTCGTACCTACAACCTCCAAAATGTTTGTATCAACACATTGTTTGTTTGTTTTTAAAATCAAATCTATATCTAGCAAGTAATCAGAAGAACCACTTAGTGGTTAGTGGTACTGTCCTTTTTCTTTTTTCTTTCTTAATCGATTATTGAATAGTTATAAAAAATACGTCTTATGCAGCATTCTTCGTCAAAGCATTAATAGATGTCTGGGCACATGGGGACAAACATACCAACACTTAACAATTTGATGTCGGGGGAGATTGGAGCTAATACTTCTCTGCCTCTCTCTCTCCAGCCACCCACCTAAAACCTCTATATAAAATAACATTCAATCACATCAGTATCATATTTCAAAATAAAATAGAGAAAAGAGTGATGGAGAAAACAGAGTTGGTAACATAGTATTTGATTTATCCTTGTTCTAGATCCACATAGGCAATGTTTCAGGTGACAACATATTTTATTTTGCTATGTGCATATATTCTACTTAAAGAACCACTTCCGTGTTTTGGTTAAAGTTGACAAATGGATTGAGGAAACGTCAAGATTAAATTGTAAGTGTCAGATATTAGTATTCGATCTTTATGCTAAAACTGAAGCTAAGAGAAATTAAAGGTAGAAACTTCAATAGAAGTACAATTTCTTTACTGAGAACTTGTCAAATCACTGGTAACTTGCGGAGTGTGATGGTGACGACAGTGTAAGCTGTGACCATATTTTACAGATATCGTCTGGAGATAATTGTATATACACACAGACCCTTTCTTTAAGTAGCTGTAGCATGGAGAAGTAGAATGCACAACTATTGTCTGGGTGTGCAGGTGAGAGAACGGGAACACTCTTATGGGGGCTGTGTGTGTATATATAGGCAGATCCTTGGGCAAGTATTTACAAGTTTTTCAGTGGTTTTGGTAAGTGCTTTGAAAGAACATAATCTTTTGTAATGGGAATACTAGCAGGCACTGTTAAATAAGCTTAAACTTGATTACTTTTTCCTGTAGGTAGACACAGCTTTAGTGCATCTAATAGGAATAGCTTATGTTTACGTGGTCTCTCTCAGATATGCTTACAGAAACAAATAAAAATGTTACATGCTGTCATACATAATTGTAGATTCATGTTGTGACTTGTCAGTATGGAAATACTAAAAATGCTACTTTTTAAAAACTGTATCTTAAATTAATTTTGACACTTTTGTTTTTTTAAGTCTTTTCCAAATGTATTATACAATATTTTGAGAAACTCAGTGTAGACTTTTTTTCTTAACGAGACTCTTCCAAAAAGTGCTGGTCTTGTTCTAGAAGGAGCTGGCTAATGACTGAAAATTTGCTACATGTCATTAGATGCTTTTTCATAAAACCTATAACCTTATTTGTCTTTCTCCACTACTATTTTAGGGTTTTCAGTTGTTTTTTTTTACAACTTCTTGCAACAATGTTTGCAGGAAAATGCCTTTTTTCCACAAGTGTTTTACAGTACAGCAAACCAAAGAAGTACGTCATGTTGGTGTTATCTTACCACAGATTTCTAAAAACAACGCTGTCTGAGGAAATGCCAAACAGGGACTCTAGCTTAGAAAACTTGGAACAGCAGCAGAAATTTAGGTAAACAAGGAGTATGTACTTCTTATCTGCGGATTCACTGCTCTGATTAATGTGAGCATCATCAAATAACTCAGGGCATAGTTTTTGAAGGTGCTTTGCAAATTATTTCTCATCCTCTGGAGGGAGGAGAGTCCTTGCTTGTATGTGGCGGGATAAAGCTATGCATCAGGTTTTCTTCAGAAGAAGTGGAGGAGAAACGGACACTCTGATCCTCACATCTCTTGGAAGCGATTTCCCTGGAAGGTTTCTGTGAGAGGGCATGTAACATGCAGAGGGGGTAAAGTGAGGGTCTGAAATAGCCACCGTGCTACTTCACTTGTTTCTTTAAGCCTCTGAGCTCTGTGCGCTTTGCTGTTGGTGTGTAATTTTCACCCCTCTCGTCTGGGAGCCATTCTTGGGTTTCCGAATGCTCCCCATAAGGTGAGAGGTACATCTTTGGGTTTGAGCAGGCTCTGGGTGCAGGGTGAAGCCAGTAACACTGACTGAATGCTTGGAGGCAGAAACTGGGCTTGCGGTCGTTGTTCTCTCCCTGTGCCTCCTCCACCCGCCCCGTGCTGCCGGGGAGCCTGCAGTTACAAGGCACCGAACCCGCATGCCCACAGCTAACTATAGCAAGCTGCGTTCCCGGGCCCGTGCATTGCCCCGGCTACGTGCTGGGGTGTTGCCAACGGAGCAGAAACACTCGTGTGATATCTGACCCATCGGCGATGGTTTTCCCAACCTATAGGTTTGTAATCCATCTCTGTCAGTGGATTATCCTGAGGGGAGGGAGACGTGCCCATGTGAAGCAGAGCTGAAGTCAGTCTGGTGAGATGTCACGTCTTGGGCTTGAAAGCAGCCTGACCGAGTCATACAAAGTTCATCTGGCATTGTCAGTCTGTGTGCGTATGAGAGGGAGTCCAAGCCCCCCATCTAAGGTTGAGGTTTTCTTAATTTCATTTTTTAATGAAGGCTCTCCTCACTAAAAAAGGGAGAGCTTTTTGCAACAAAAAATACAGGCCAAGTGCAAGCTGTTGTTCCAAATTTGCAGCTTTTGAAGACAGTTATGTATGTGCAGATAAGTATTCACTAAAATTTTTTTAATACTTTTTGAAGAAGCAAAGATAAAGTATATTTAACTGCAATATGTGTCTGTAAGAAAAGAAATCCTGTATCAACTTCTTTATGTTTTAAGAGGACAGTATGTCTGGAGGATTTAAAGCAGAAACAAGTAGATTCAGAAGTGATTTTGGAGTGGTGCCTGGCTAACTGGAGCTGGGATGCTTCTAGGACAGCGTGAGTAGAAGGGTGGCAGGCAGTGTCCAAGAGATGGGTATTTCTGAAAGGTATTGATGGTAGAATGTATAAAACTATTGCCAGCAGCTCCTTGAAGTTCTTACTACCAAAGAAAATTAATTTATTTTTGAAATGTAAAGTAGTTTTGGTTTGCATCTGGGGTTTTTATAGGTTCCAGGCTTGTGCAGATTTTCAATTCGGATGGATGGTAACTTAATAGATTGGGTTGGTAAGTTGGAGAAGAGAAAGGAGAATTCAACAGTCTTGATTCAAAAAGAAAAGAAAATAACCAGTTCATTCTCATTAGTGTCATAAGATCTAATTCCCTCATTTACATTTTGAAGATGGAGATCTGTCACTGAATCAGCAGATAAGGAAAGGTACCTCTAAATTACAAAATTCTGTATCTTTGCTGTCTGAATTTCAGTCCCTTGAAAAACTAAGTGGAATTAAATTTTTAAAGTAATTTGTTAAAATACATTCTCAGTATTAAAATGCTGTGATTTCAGTTCAAGTTAATCTCTTAGTAATTAAATTAAATAATGTATGGCTCCATGAGTAGGGTCAACTTTTTTTCATATAAAACCTGAAAAGGAAAAGCAGAAGTCAAACTGACAATATCCCTTTTAGAAGAAAATAAGTGTATAACGTGAGAAGTTATGCTTAAGTTGGTAAAATATTGGGTAGACTTTTCTTTCCACTTTGCTTGCAGTCAGTGCTTAAATGTGAAGGTTTTGAAGTCAAGTGGCTTATAAAACTCGTTAGCAATGGTATTTTTTCAGGTGCTTCTGGAAAATGGGGCACCTGTGATGCAGCAGGCTTCCTCAGGGTAGAGGGGGATAGTTGCTTGGTCAGTCTATTTGCATCCCTTCTATAGGATGAACGCAAGTCCACTAGAATACTTGCCCACTAGAAAGTAACGTTTTATAGCCTCATCCCCTCTTTTGTGAATGTCTTTCTCCTCTTCTGTGTAAAAGAAGCATTTGAAAGTGTAGAAATATGAATTCTGAGATCACTACTGTTGGCACAGGGATGTTGGCGGGTATACCTGAAACTACCATTAACTACATCTGCCCTGGAATCTTTTACCAGAAGTATTGGTGGTGGAAAACAGTGCTTTGTTAGTGCCAGTTTCAGCAGCTGTTCTGGTGAGCAAGATTTCTGGTATCCTAGATGAACCCTGATCAGCACCAGAGAACAAATACATTT